CAAATTCCTCTCCCATCAATTTTTCTTTGTGAAGGCAAATGAAGCTAGAAGCATGTGATGCACTCTTAGCTGCCCATTTTGAAAAAACCCTTCCTTTCACATATCCAAAATAGTTGAAGCACAGAGAGATGACTAATCCAGCTGTGGCAGGTGCATCAATTTAGCCAGTGTGCCAAAAAGTAAAACCTGACCTCTAGTCTGCTCAAAATCTCTGTTGTTTGGCATCAGTATTGCATTTACTGAAATGCACAAGACTGCTACAGGATAAAGGTTAATTCAAACAAAATAAAAGCTCTGTAAGATCATGGGAAGCTCCCAACACTACACAGGGTACTCTTGCACAAACGACCAATTTGAAGCTGTAGAGATCATGGAAATTAAAGCAAGATCCAGTCAATTTAGGAATTCTTAGCACAGGTAAGTCCAATTCTCAGTGCAGAAATATTAAAATCTGCATGTAAACTGCAGAACTTCTCCATCTTCCCTTTCCTGTAAAAGATTTGACTCTTTATAATGTAGACAGCACACTGCAGGCGGAAGAAACCTGATGGAATAGCATCTTAGTTTTCCTTTGCAGTACCTGCCTGGCTTGCAGTTTCTGTAGAAGCATTATAAAACACTAACTTGGTTATAAGTTTGACTCGTAACATTCAAGCCCCTGAGAACTTTTCCCCAGGCTGCAGGACTATCTGCTTATGCTCTGGCTGACAATTTACCACTTGCTTTCACATTTTTTCCCTATCATCTTCCTGGTTTTGTCCACTATCACATACTGAAAAAGCAACTTCCCCCATCTCACAAAAAGCAAACTTGTTTCTATCATATCTCCTAAGAAGTTATTTAAATAGGGACATAAGGATCCCCTAAAATCTTACACAGGCAGCCATCAAAAGCCCAATAATGCCCTGAGGAAAGAATATAGTGACACCTTACAGGTAACTCTGCCCCAGGCAGACCTCCTCCTCTTTCTCTTCTTTCTACCTTTCAAATGTGTGATTTGATAAAAGCCTTTTGATGGTGTAAAAATAAAAATATTTGGCCTTTCAGGAATAAAATAACCAACAATACAGTAAAACAGTATGAGACTCTTGACTTTCCAAAGAGCACTCACATTCCAGTGACAGGGAGGAGGAATGTAGGAAATGTATATGTTCAACTTAAGAAGAGTTTCCAGGGAAGTGGAATTTTTATTTATTTGTTTTTAAAACTGCCAAGTCAAAATGAAAGTGCAACTGACTTCCAGATGTGGGTGTGGTGCTTGAAGACAGAATGCAATGTCAGACCAATTGAGATCATTTCACTGAAGCACATCTCAACTGCTCTACCTGCTACTAGTCTGCTGACAAAAGAAGGTTAGTTTTGTTTTAATATTTACTGTTCTGTATATTAAATGTGATATAGTTACTTACATAGAGAAGAGCTAGGATTTCAGTTAAATTGGCTTTACAGAGAGACATAATTTCACTAAGGCACATGCTTGTTTTCAGACTTAAAATTAGATTTTGCAGTAGAACAGAATACTGCTTAACTAATTAAAGAAAAAAATCTGTCTGTGTAAACTGGGGATATTAACTTCATTCAACATGTATTCATACAATCCCATACTAAATTTGTATCTAAATGGAAGGCTGGAACAATTTTGCAAGAAAACACGCGATGCTGTCTATTAATATATCTATTGATATACCTTCTACAAAACAGCACTTGAGAAAACAGCTGAGGTTCTGAACTGTTTGCTTACTTGTGGACAGTGATAAGATTCCTTTCTGTGCATAATACCTTGAGACATCTGCAACTGTAAGATGCAGTGTACCCACAGCAGTTTGATTCTGTAAGAAACTCCACATGGGCATAAGGTGGCTGCGTGGGATGGAGACTAAACTAAGCCTGTTCCACCGCTGTTCAGCAACTGATGCCCGAGGGGCTGCTCTGCCTTATGTAACAGGCATGTACACATGCACCTGAGGAACAACGTTAGCAGGAACGACAAATATGAATAGGAATGTTAGCCGAAACATAACTGTGCTTTTTTCAGGGAGAAATACCAACTGTTGAAGTTTTGATAACTTTGTTTCTGTCAGGAACTTGGGTCAGCCAAAAGTGTATCAGCCAGCGCAGGGTGTTCCTTTTCACAGCCAAACCACTCGGTGACTTTATGATACACAGACTTCTTGAAGTTTGCACTGAAATGTTTGTTGGTTTGCTTTCAAGCACATTTGCCAGTGATCCAGTTTGAGCATTCCCAAATGGATTCTATAATAAGTGTTTCAGACCACAACTAAATCTTTTCAGCTTACCTTAATTTTCTTCTATTTCTGGCTAAGTAGTTTCTCTTCTACAAAAAAAAACCAACAACCCAGCCAAAACCAAAAACCCAAAACACTTGCTGCTGATGCCTGAATCTCTCCTCAAAGTACTATAAAGTTGCAACAGACTATCCCTGCTGAAAAATTTTGCTAACACAGCTTGTTCGGCATAGAAATAGTCATCCCTTGCTGAAGTAATAAATAGAATGACTGTATTTTTCCATTCTCATTTAGGTAACAGTAAATGTCATATTACAAAACTTAAAATAAGAGTAGTCCTTGTTTAAAGTTTAGCAGGAAGTGTTTTGAAATGTTAACAAAATAATCCAACAAAGTTATTAAGGATTAAGCCAAACCAATTAGTTAATATTTAACTAACACATTTTTACTAAGATTTAGATAGCAGATTCACTGAAAAAAAAAAAAAAAAAACAAGAAAAAATCAAAACTATTAATTTATTTCTATTTAACTTGCCTGCATTGCTGAATATGAGATCAACCAGTAACTTATATTCCCTGCTAGACAGAATGAATTAAAAAAAATTTAAGAGATACTGTTTATAATAAACATTTGGCAACCCTCATTTAAACCCTTGTCTAAAAACCAGAAATGGTATGTGGAGGTTTTTTCAAGCTTGCAAAAGCCAAGCTTTAAAAAGCTCTGGGTCAGAATATCAGATAAGAATCTGCTTTCCGTAAATTGGCCTCAAATTCTGACACAGTGCAGACGCTGAAAAAGGAGGATGTTTTTTTTTTCATTCTCAGCTAAATTTTCTACTGCTGTTAAGAAATCTTGATCCCATTTATTTCAATAAAACAAGGCACTGGAGGGACTGTAGCTTACAATAGAAAGAATTTCAGCAAAATAATCAATTAACACAATTACAGGAAAATACCATAGGACACAGCCTGCTTAAGACAGTCTGAAGATAGGAACACTCAAGCTCCAGCCCTAAGCAGGCAGTGAAAATACAGCCTTAGTGTTTATGGAGCAAATCTGTCATGAGACAGTACTGGGAGAAAACATCAGAGATTCTGAGCTGTTTGGGTATTTGTGGGTAGTTTTGCATGTGGCAAGATTCTTTTCTGTCATAACATCCTGAGAAGTCTCCAGCTGTAAAATGCAGTGTTCGTGCAGTAATTTGATTCCCTAAGAAATTCCATGTGTGCACTGCTCCCTGGACAGAGACCTCAGCCTATTCTGGTGCTGCTCAGCATTGCTGAGTCTCCCCTGCCCTGTTTTGTTTAACAGGCATGCATATGTGTGCCTGAGAAACAAAAAAGCACATTCTCCCTATATTACAGTCATATCCCAAATTTCCCAGAATTTCTGATAGTGGAATACTAGTGCTTACCCCTAAGCTTTAACCTGTTAATATTCCTTATCCACTCTATAAAACCAGTATTTGCAATATTCTTCTACAAATTCTATTCTGGTGTTCTGATATTCTTTTGTTTTGTAGAGGCTGTAGAGAGGAGGGTGCAATCTCAACCCTATAAAGGTACAGACAAATTCATTTTGCAATGAAATACAGTAGAGCATAATGGAGTCAGGGCAGTTTAAGCAGTGATGGCTCCTGAACTGAAAGTTGGAAAACAGTGAGGTGCACTCCAAGCAACTTGCCATCTCAAATGCTAAGGTTAAGGAAAGTACTTCAACTAAGTCGATTTTACTTTGCATTGCATACATGGATGTAGTTAGTTACCCCATTTCATGTGAGAATTTGAGGCTGTTTATTCTGCTTCCATCAGTGTTCAGCTCTGCTTTGATTATTTACAAAAGTATTCTCAATATCCAACTACTTCAAACATGAGATGTATAAGCAACCCTGAGCAAGGGTTTTAGGTTCCAACAGATATTAAAAACTTAAACCCAGTATTACTCTTTTTGTCTTCCCTTCTCCCCTCTTTTTATGTGTCTTGTAGCTTTGCCATGGACTGGGATATGAATAATTCCACTGATGACTGGATTGACGATGAGGAGCACGATCCTGACTCCATTTTAGATTACAGTACTTATGAGCTTCTCTGTGAAAAAAGTGATGTAAGAAATTTCAGTAAATTATTCCTCCCTGTGTTTTATACATTGGCTTTCACTGTTGGAGTGGCTGGAAATTCATTAGTGGTGGCAATTTATTCCTATTGCAAGAAACCAAAGACCAAGACGGATGTGTACATCATGCATCTAGCCATTGCTGATTTGCTCTTGCTCTTTACACTCCCTTTTTGGGCTGCAAATGCAGTGCAGGGATGGGAACTAGGAAACTTTATGTGCAAGCTCACTTCTTCCCTGTACACCATGAATTTCAGCTCTAGCATGCTGTTCCTGGCCTGTATCAGTGTGGATAGATACAGGGCCACTTCTGAATCCCAGGGTCACAGAAGAGTTGGGAAACACTGCAGTGTTACCTGCACCTGCGTCTGGCTGGCTGCCATTTTCCTCAGCATCCCTGAACTGATATTTAATCAAGTCAGGAAACACAATGACAGGAATCAGTGCCTTCCTGTACTTCCAATGAACATAGAAACAGTCTTGAAAGCAACCATTCAAATCCTGGAAATTATCCTGGAATTTGTGCTTCCTTTCCTAGTCATGCTGGTATGCTACTCAGCCACTGCTCGAGCAATCTTCAGATCTGCAAATGCTAAAAAATCTAGACCCTTTCTCGTTCTGCTGGCAGTAGTGGCTACTTTCATTATTACCCAGCTACCTTACAACATCGTCAAGCTCTGGCGAGCCATAGATATCATCTACATGTTGATCACTGACTGTGATGTAAGCAAAACCTTAGACATTGCACTCCAGGTCACCAAGAGCATAGCTTTGTTTCACACCTGCCTGAACCCTCTTCTCTACGCCTTTCTGGGTGCATCTTTTAAAATGCATATTGTGAAAATTGCAAAAAATTATGGACACTGGAGAAAACAACAACAGAACAGAAGACCTGAAGAAATTTCTATGAATTTTGAAGAACATACTGAAGATACAACTAGTTTCACTATATAGGCCCTCTATTACTTTCATTATCTCATATAACCAATGGATATTATCTACCAATTCTGGGCGTATTGTTTCAGCAGCTGTTTCTCTGCAAGTCAGCTTTCACATTAATTTCTGAATCTGCAGACTAGCCAAGACACTACAGTGCAATTCAAAGTGGAACAAGCTGAGCAAAATTAAGCATCAGGCAAGAACTGAATACTGACATCCATAGAAATAACTAGAGGTATTTACTAAAAAAACTAAAACAAACAAACAAACAAACAATCAAAAACCATTCAAACAAATAAAAGCTGAACAAAAAAACCCACAACAGGACCCAAACACCTAAAAATCCCCCAGATTTAAATTTGAAAAGATCACAGTACTAGGCAATTAAATAGCTGTGTAATGAACAACCTGAGTATGTCTAAATATAAAACAAAAGCAGAAAAAAATCCATCAGCAATAAACCAGTAGTACAGGAACTTTTGTACCGAAAGTTAAGAACATTTTCTTCTTTTTTTTCTACAACTATTTAGTAAAATGTTAGAACATTTGCTTCTGAAGTCAGTTCCATTTTTTTCCTCAGCTAGCATTCCATAGATAACCTTGCAGCTTGAAAGGAGGCATCAGTTAATGGCAGAGAACTGAGACAGACAAGGGGGGGTAGAAAGCTATTCCCTATATATTTCCACATATGTGTACAACACACCCCACAAAATACAGTAACTCCTCTGTATCTACAAAAAATGACCTTTCACCTCTCCTTTTATGCCCAACCTCAATAAGCCCAGTGCTTTATGGAAGGCACACTCCAGATCTCTGTAAATGTCATGTCAAGTGTAAATGCCAAAATAGTATAGACAAAGCATTAGCAGAAATGTAAGTAAAAGTTAAGCTAATCTTCAGATACAGGGCCTGGAACTTCTAGTCAGGATGTGTAAAATTAATCAAACACTGCAATAACAGTATCTGCTAAAATATATGGAGATACAATAAAATAAAATAATATAAAATGTGTACTGGCTGTCATTCATATCTTATGCTTGTTTTCTTTTAGTAGGCATTGATATCTCTCACCCTAGGCATTTATCAACCAGCAAAGTCTAGAGGCCTTGTTTGATGAATGAGAGAGGTTCTGATTCCATTTGGAGCTGATGGTTGGTGGGATTTACACTTTTCACATAAGAGGTACGAGAGCTGTCCCTGCCACAGTGCTGGAGAGGATTCCAGGAAAACAGCAGTTTTCCATCACTCTGTGGAAGCATTTAAAATATATTGACATATTACCTTTCAACATTAAACAAGTAGGATCACAGAATACTGTCCCTGCCTTCAAACATTCCATGGCTCTGACAAAATGCCTGATCCACAGCTTATGAAAGCCAAGAATAATCTCTCACTTTTGGACACTGTTCCCAGTTACACAATTATGGACTGGAAGAAATAGCTCTAAAATGACAGACAAGAAACAACAGTAGCATAAACAAAACACAAGCTTCTGCTCTCTGCTTGGATGACAAAAGCTTAGGAGAATTTCTGCCTAGTGTTTTGAGAAATATTAGGGCGTGAAGCGGTCAGAGGTCCCTGACAGTCTACACACACAGGCTATAAATCTAACATGTTTAAGTCATGCTGGATTTATTGTAGATGTGCAAAGCACCCATGCAGGCCACAGTAAGAAACTCCAGTTCTTCCATGAAGCAACAGACTCCTTGCACATGTGATTTATGATTTGTCTTCACAAACACAGCATACTCAAACCTCACATGCAAACTGCCGTATAGAGCTTCACAAAAAAAAAAAAAAAAAAAAAGGTTTAAAGGCTACAGCAATAAACATGGAAGTTACCTGACAGAAAGAGGTAACGTTTTATTCAGGGTTTCCATACTTACCACTGCTCCACCACTTCTTGCCATTGATCACGTAACTGTTTCCATCTCGCTCGATGCTGCATTGCATGTTGGTGGCATCGCTCGAAGCGACATCAGGTTCTGCATTAAAGCAAAAAACAACTAAACAACCACTGGATTAAGTACACAGATAGTACTACAACCACAAACATAGGGAACTAGAAAGACTATATTGATAGTAACACTGTTTTGCTCCCAGCAGAAAAGCTGTTTTCAGAACCTTGCTCTGCTGGTGATCAAAGGCTTTCTGTTTTCTTCACAGCCAGTTTACCCCTTCTTGGGCTCAGACTACTCTTTTTTTATAGTCAACAGCCTCCTTCCTTCCCTAACGTTTTTAAATCCTTCCCCTTTCCAACATACCTATAGATAACAGTCATATCTCTCCCCAGTCTTTTCTCCCTTGGACTTTCCTCAAGTCAAAATTGAGAGATTTACACTACTTTTGCTATGGTTTATGAAATCAGTTACACTAAGCAGTTGCCAGCAAAATGTCAACAATTACGGTTTGCAACAGGAAAGATTCCTCTTCACTCCTTTCACTCTTATCTTCTTTTATAGGACATCTTAAAAGCACAACCATCTCTTTCCTGTTGGTGAACATGGTGAAACAGAATTTACAAAATAAGGGTCCAGCTCTGCAAGACTGAGTTCTCTAAACTTGTTGACACAGTGTGGGAAAACAGATGTCTTAATTATTTCAGAGTGATTGCAACAATAAGAATGAAAGCTAATCAGTATGCTCACCTCCTACAGAGGAATGAAAGCCATTTATCTTACACTCAGCCTTGGACAAGAGTGCAGGCTATTTTATTGCACTTATCTTACACCTGACATGGAGCAGGAGTGGAAGGAATGGTCCATTCACTTCACCTGTAGTGAGCACTGGGTTTTTCCCCACCCTTCTCTTAATTAACAAGCATTATTAGCCTGCTAAGAACCAATCAGCACACAATTTATGACCAAGTCCAACCTAATCAATAGGTATAAAATTAGTTTTTAGAATCCTTTTTTTTCAGAGGAAAAGAACTCCAACTCTCTGTATGGGTCGATGGGCCTGAATCCTGTCTTCCCCCTCAAACAGGGACACCTCTTTGATAAGACTTGCATCTCCAACTCTGTCAGATGATATCATCATGAATCACTAACTCAAGCTTGAATGTTGGCAGTAAGTGTATTTATCAACAACGATTCTGAACTTGTTGTATCTGTTGCCTTACTCAATTATCTATCTGGAAGTCCTGGGCAGGACTGTGGAACAAGCAAACATTGATAAGTAAACTACCTACCATTTTAACTTTGCAAAACTGTCTCAGTGAAAGTCCTTGGTGGGAATCTGAGAAAGGCAAACCTTGATTCTAATAAGTGGCTGCACACACACAATCCTTCAGACATAAACAACTGAGTAAGTGTGGGACTAGGACTGGATCCAGCCACACCTAGACTTTTCTCTGAGGAGTTTAGAAAGCAACAGGACCCTTTCTGAACCTTGTGACTCCTCAGCAGGGCCTATCTCAGCCACCTTGCAGACTCATACCCCTTACACGACACCCAAGAAGATAAAGATTTTTACATCACATGTTCAAAAGCTACCTTCCTAAACCAATAGCCAGGCCTTGCACAGATGCTGGATGGTAGAAGCTTTCAAGAGCAAAAATCAGTATAGAGTTGAGCAGCAAACATAAAGCAAGTGCATCATATGTTTTGCAAGTAATCTTCACGTCATGTCTTAAAACCTCTACGTACCCAATACTGCAAAACTACACAACTTTAATCACAATAATCATACTTGTACCTACATATATGTTTCTAGAAAGCCCCATAGCACAGTAAAAAAAAAAAGATAAGTTCTATTGTAAATCTGGTTGGTATAATAAAATGTATTTTACCAGTACTAAAAATAAATTGAAAAGGTATGGAAAGGAAATGCTAATTATTGCAACCATGAAAAATGGTAGCTATCAGGGAAGGGCATCGAGGATGCTTCACTTTGTACCCATACCTCATACATGATTTCACATTCAAACACACTCACAGTGGAAGTTTCTGCATTAATTCATTAACACACGAAAACTTGTAAATTTGTCTTTTGTGCACATGCCACATGAAATTTCTACCAGTTGTCTCTAACTTTCTTTTGGAGAAAAATTTACCTGTCATGCAGAAGCAAGAACTAATCTTTCCTTCCAGGAGAGGCTCCAGCCACTCTTTCTTTTGCTCTTCAGTCCCATACATGTGTAGGACCTCCATATTTCCAGTGTCTGAAAGACATCAGCAGTCATGTTTACTTCTTGAAACACACAACTCTTAAGATATGATGCCCAACTTTATGATGCTCTCGACATTGTAGTCACAGGACAGGGCTGCTAACCTGGTGCATGACAGTTGAAAACCTCTGGAGCAAAGAGGCATTTCCCTGTCTCCTCAGCTATTAGCGCATAGTCAAGCTGGCTGAGACCACTGACGTCTGGGAGAAAAAGGTTCCACAGACCTTCTGCTTTGGCCATTTCCTATTGAAAGAATCAATAGAGAAAAAACATTAGCAAGAAAACTTTTAAAGAAACAACCAACGCTTAAATTCTGGCTTGCTGTCCAATTGCTTCCTTTCAGCTTAACATACTGTCCAATATATCTGATGACATTTTTCAGCAGCTATTTTCAATAGGTACATTCTTTGTCTTAAAGTTCAGACATATCCCTCACAGAACTCACTTTTGCTTTTCTCCTCTCTCACTCACATCTCTCACCTCCTTTTGCACACCTCCTTCTTCCTTTCCTTTCATTTTTCCTCACACTGTTTCTTTCCATGCAGAGTACCTTCTCCAGCAGGATACACCGAATATTCTTACACTCTGTGTCAGTGCCTGTTTCTTTCTTCTCTAAAGAGCTCAAAAATATTTATTATCTCATACCTTCAGTCTCTCAAGCAGAGGTGGTTTATTCCATTTTTCCTCAGTATTTCCTTGTCCAGCATAGTATTTAACTATTTCCTTAGAAAAACAATTTAAAAGATGCTGTTTAAATTGAAACGTGTAGCAGACAAGTGACAATATGGTGTCTTTTCCTCCCTAAGAAACCCATACAAAAATATTCAATACAAGTTTTTATTACATT